TGATTTTTTTTTCAATTATCTTAATTTAGTTTTAGAGTATGGAACAGCTGAGATGGACCATTAGGTCCCATGTTGTCCAAAAAAGTTATGTTGAAGCTATCACAGGAACAGAGTTAATTAAAATGAATGTTTAACAATCACTTCTTGAGCATTTTCTGCCCGTTTTTGAGGTTTTTGCTGTCTTTTCTGTAATTTGCAAATGCTAGGCTTAGCCTATGTTAATTTTAAGCATACTTAGATTATTAGTCTGTTATATGACATGGTTTGTTTTAGATTCATGGTTTTTCTGTTCCATTGTTTTCTATATGATAATATGAATCTTTCTAACTTTGCAGCATATATATATATACTACTGCATTATTGTGAGATACAGCCTTGTGTTAACATTCTTAGTTTCATTCTGTTCCATTTTTTTAGTGCAAGCTAACTTAATGAATTGTATAAAAAATGTATTAGACTCTATGTATCACACTTCCTTTATGAGCTTTAAAGCTATCTTGATGGCCTTTTTACATTTTTATACTATACACTTTGATCCAATAGTTCTTTAGAAAATATAAAAAGAAGCTGATATAAAACATGTTACTTCATACAAACAACATATCTGCAACACATGCTACTGCTGAACATAAAAATATATGAAAGCCTGACGAGTCATGGTATTGACAAATATTGCAGATATTATGGTTGACATATTCTTGCTGTCACTAATAAGTTCTTATAATTATATATAGATACTGTATGTAAGTATCATATCTGTTATAAACTACTGTTGAACATTGCAGTGCATGAAAGCTTTTCATTAGCCCAACTTAATTATTAGTACTTGATAGGTTAATTGTGTATTGGCTTTGGACCTGTGGCTGCTTCCATAAAAATAAATGTTTAGAAAACTGGGTCAAATCTGATGGAAATTGAAAATTGTATTTTTATAGAAGCTTCCAATATTAAATTTTTTATTTTTTAATTAAGGCCAAATAGAGCTAAAAGAAAAATTCAAAAATTTTCAGTTGTTCTAAGGCAACAAAACAAAAGAAAAAATGAAATTGTCCATGTTGGATATACATTATTGAACTCACTTGGGTATGAAGTAGTTACCCTGATAATCTAAGGTTACCAGCTGTGTCTGGAACTAGTGGTCAACCATTTTTATTTAAGTTTACATAGGTAAGTTATGTTGTAACAACCTTTGCTGAAATCAGATGCTAATTGGACAGAACCAAATACACATTGTGAACTCTCATTAATTATGGTTATTAGCTCTGTCAAACACTTTGCATTGCTTTTTAAGAAATAATAGTAATGCAATCTGTATTTGGTGTGTAATTTAACTAACATCACAGTGTTTAAGATACACATAAAATTGTCACAGTTTGCTTAATTTAAACCAGAAATTGTGTACCAACATTCTGCATCTTCTTGGCAAATTTTAACTTTAGGAATACTGTAGGTTATTGCTAACAAAAATCAAAGTGTTAACACTACCTAAGTTATACTGAGTTATCAGTTTTACCATGTTTTGAATTTACATTCGTATAAGTATCGGTTCGATGTCTAAAGCACTTTAACATGATCAAGTTATTCAGTACTTTGTGCTACCGAGATATGTTATAAAGAATAACACCTTTAAAAGCACAAATTAAATAAGGAAAACAACACAAACTTACAAAAGTATAAAGTTAATTACCTAGCTAGTTTGATGTACCATGTGTGTCATTTTGAAAATGATGCACATGGTACATCAAAATTTGTCAGGTAATTAACTTTATATTTTTGTAGATTTATGTTGTTTTCCTTATTTAATTTGTGCTTATAAAGGTGTTAATCTTTATAACGCTTTAATATGGTTCTATTATCTGGATAATAGTACCCAAATATAGGCATCTTGTTCCAGTGTTGATTCATGTAAACACAGTACAATATGCTTTTGCTGGTACAGTTTAACCCAGTGTTGTGGATGACATTGTGTTTTTCAGACCTCAATTACTGAATCTTGCAACAAACTATTGCATCCAATCACAGAAAGATCTTTGACTACACCTTTGCCGGGAACATGTGAAGAACAAGAACTTTCTGGTAAGTTGTTGGAATAAACAAATGTTTTAAAAAGATGCAGATAGTCATGTTTTCCCAATGCATAAGAGCCATTAAAATTTAGGTACTTGTAATCATGCTAGAGAAAAGAATGAATAATAAGTTACAAGAATAGGTGTAGTGTCTGTGTGGTGTTTATTATTTTTTGGGTGGTTTTCTAAAGAAAAACTGCTTGTGTCTTCTTATACACGTTTTACTTTCATGGAATTTAATGTACGAGTTTAGTATAACTGTCCAATTAAAACTGTTAATATACTACAGATTATACAGGATATTTCAACTTTTCACTACATTCAATACATTTGAAAAGTGCTCGAGTTATTTGATTTTTCTAAATTGGGATTATAATAGCATCTTTTGTAAATTTCTTTATAAGCTAACATTAATATATATAAATTTCTTACATTTCAGTTAAATTTTTTGTGACTAATTATAAACACATATTTATGAAAACCTTCTTTTAAGTTCTCATCACAGGAAGCTTAGCCTCAAGCACAGAGGTGGGAAACTGTATCTTTCCACTGTGTGAAGAATTAGGAATAAAGTTACTGCTAAACATAAATTACAAAACATTTTATTATCTCTTAAGTTTTATCCATAAAAATTCACTTTCTTGTTTTTCATGTAGTGTAAGTATTACATCATATATCACTTACATTTGGCTTCATATTTGGTGACATCAGGACTAAGATTAAAAGGGAGGAGGACAGTGACATGTACTCCTCCATTAATAACTAAACATCATGACTTTTACATTGTCACTTTCAGCCAGTTGCTATACTACTTGTCTTGCTATCAGCTCTAAAACTTTACTGTCGTGTATGAGAGTCAAAATATTAGAGAGTAATATAACAAAGAGAAATTACAATTTAATGATTATTTGTATTATTAGTATTTGTATTCTCTAAATTTTATAATTTAATCAAATGTTCATTGGACAATCCCTTTATTGGAGAAGGATTGTTGACAATAATTCCAAATTTACTACCTATATATACTCAAGGTGTGGCAAGCTTTTAATAAAATATAAAAGTTTTTTGCACTCTCTAAACCAGATGTATTACAAAATTATTTATACTCAAGTAACGTCTGTGAATTGACAATATTAGTCTAAGTTGGACTAAGTTGATGTTTATGTAAGGTGATGTTTATGTGAAAAATGAAAATACTTTTGTCCATCATACAGTTTATGTATTGCATTTGCCTAACCTCTAGTTCAATATCCCTACATATTGTATCTGGTATTTACCCTCCTCTACCACAAACTAAATCAGCATTATAGGGTAAAAGGAATAGTTGATAACTCTGACATCAAATACATAATACCATGTTGAATGGCGCTCTGTGAAAGGTCATGACATGTGCAAGTTATTAATACATCCATTTTTAAGAAGCTTTAACAGATAAAGTCAACTCCAAATTACAGCAAAATCTTTCAATATAAAGAATATTATGGTTGTACTTATATCCTATAAAAAGATATCAGAAAATGAAAAATATATAATCAGTACATTTTTTTACAAAATATATTGTATTTCAGGTAATGCCACCCGTCTCGAGGTTCAAGCTGCTGCTGAGGAATTTAAAAGGTTGTGTCTTCAGTTACCACAGGGAGGGATTCTTCCTGTCGATAGGTCTCCCATAGGTGGATCTAGCTCTAGTGATGTAATATTTGAACAATCGTACAGAACGGAAGAATGGGACTCAAAGAAGTTTGGATTGAGCGAATTTACTTTCATTAAGGTTCTAGGAAAAGGCAGTTTTGGAAAGGTATGGTGAGAAATGTGCTGTAAAAGATACATTATTGTAATTTCACATGTGAAAAGTATGATCGGTTACAAAAATCAAGCTAATGTAATTGAGGATTATTTGAAGTCAGTTGATGTGACAGACTTCATAATCACAAAGTAACTATTAGATTTTCTATAATAATAACTTTTAATGTGTTTTGTGTATCTTCACGGAATTTCACAAGTTTCAGCAATTATTACAAGTCTTTGGAACACAAAAAATCAAATTTTCTAATTAAGTATTTTCACAAAAGATTTATCTGTGAATATATGAAGTCAGAGTATTGACTGCTCTGAGTGCAAATAGATTTTAATGTAAGATTAAAAATACTTTTCTTCCTCTCAAAATTTTCAAATTTTGTTTGCATAACTTCTAAACCCTCCTAAATAAATATCAAATATTTTTTTGTTTCTTTTTTCAGTAAAACTTTATATTTTATCTGTTTTTTTCTCTACCCTAACTCTGGACAGACTCAGTTTATTTGACCAACCTTGTAACCACTATAAAAAGTATGAAATAAATCTAAATTACCCTATTTCTCTTTCTAGAATAACTGCAGATTGAAACAAAAAACTACAATTGTTTATCACAATAGCTTAAAGCTCATAACAGTATTGTGCTTATGAACAGCTCATGTGTTACATCCTTCAATACAGTAATGTGAGCTATGCGTCTGCCAATTGATATACAATTCACATGGCGGGATTATTCGTTAGACATGTTTCAAAGGGCAATAAAACAATAAAATTATATAAAAACAGATGTCCTCTTGAGGAATTTTGTATTCTTTTTTTCTTCATTATCTAACCTAGTAGGTTTCTAATTTTTACATTTTAGTTACTTTTATAACAATAAATAAATAATATACATGAAATACAGTACTTACCTTTGATTTGTTGTTTTTTTACTACAAGTTGCTAATGAAACATAAGCCTACTTTTTGTAATGATGGTACTAGTACACTAAATAATTTTTATTTTATTAAGTACTTCACCTAAGAACACAGAATAATAACTTACACAAAGCAAACAGTGTCCTATAACTGTTATAATTTAAATGGCTTTCTGACTAAGACAAGAGGGGCTTAAAATAATTCTCTTACCTGTTTGGTCTGAACACCACAAGATAAACTTTTAAACTGAATGCAGAATTGTAGCATCATGTGTCATCTGATAGATTAAAACTTTGCCTTTCTATAGGTTATAAAAGAAATAATATAAAACATCAGAGAGAATTATTAGCAATTTATGTAAGAGTGAATGTGACAGTAGGGCATGGCTAGTGGTTCTAATTTTCTAAATAAGATTGAAGACTATGAAAAATAACTTTGCCTTAGTATTATTTGTATTATAATGAGTAATTTACATTAAGTTCCATACTTCAGAGAAGGGTGGTAAATAATATAGGAAGACCTAGAGAACAAATGTCACGATTCTCATAAAAGGAAAGATTAAGGATTTATTTAAATATTTCCTTATAAAATTGTGAAATCAAAACTAGTATGATATTAAAATTTGACTTATTAACTACCTTTCGATGCCAGGTTTATTTATATACATTTATAGTAAAGTAGTTTGATTAAATTTTGAATGTAACTCTGTAAAAGGTTGTGACGTGCACCTATTTACCTGTAGCAAGAGGATTAAGAGTTCTTCATCAGGTAAAATGCTTATTTTCTCTTGCAACTGTAAGAGAAAGGTCAGAAGTCTTCTAGACTTTGATAGTTATATCTATAAGAGAAAGTTCAAAATGCTTATACTTTGTGTAAGAGAAAGATCAAAAGTTTTCCACTTTCTGTTAGCTATATCTGTAAGGCATAGGTCATAATTATTCTACTTTCTGCTAGCTACAACTTTAAGGAAAGGTTCAGAGTCATAAACTTTTTGCCTGGTATATCTGCAAGAGAGGACAAGAAATCTTTACATTCTGCTAGTAAGAGGACAGTCAGAAGACTTCTACATTCTGCTAGTTACAACTGTAAGAGAAAGGCTAGAAATCTTCTACGTTCTCATAGTTGCAGTTGCGAGAGAAAGCCTAGAAGGCCTCTACGTTCTCCTAGTTGCAGTTTCGAGAGAAAGGCTAGAAGGCCTTTACATTCCCCTAGTTGCAGTTGCGAGAGAAAGGCTAGAAGGCCTCTACGTTCTCCTAGTTGCAGTTGCGAGAGAAAAGCTAGAAGGCCTCTACGTTCTCCTAGTTGCAGTTGCGAGAGAAAGGCTAGAGGGCCTCTATGTTCTCCTAGTTGCAGTTGCGAGAGAAAGGCTAGAGGGCCTCTATGTTCTCCTAGTTGCAGTTGCGAGAGAAAGGCTAGAGGGCCTCTTTCTCCTAGTTGCAGTTGCGAGAGAAAGGCGAGAAGG